TTCTCAAGCCCACCCGCCTCTGCTCACTCTAACCCTCCAGCCGTTCCTCACATTAGCCCCCGGCCTCTGCTCACTCTAGGCCGCCGTGTGTGACGCTGTGTTTCGTTGTGAAAGCGAAACTACTTTGTTTGGCCTTCCAAAAATAGACAATACTAGAAATCAGTGGTTAAGTTGTATTTACAACACTGTTCCAGAACACTTCAACCCAAATATTCAGATGTGTGCAGCACATTTTATGGAGGATTGTTTACTTATTGTTTACTGCCGGCTGTTCTGACTCACAGATTGTAAGTACGTTTTTTATATTTAAAGTAAACCAAATACACAAAATAATGTTCTTTTTAGCAACATCATATGACCCCTTTAAGAAAAAGCATGAGCCCTTCAGTTTTTACCCCAGATTCCTGTTTCAATATGAAATCACACGTCATCGCATCAACACCAAAAAGAAAATGGTGCTTGGGGTGTTTAATGCATCTAGATGGTATCTTAATGCCTTTAATGAGAGATCATGCAATATTTGTTCGTTAGCATTTTAGTACTGACATTCACTTATACAAATAATCAACAGGGTATTGTGTAATAAGTTGTATCTAAACATTACGTTCAGGTAAAATCTCCAGTAATAATTCATTACTTTTCAGGACATTTGCAGCCAGAACTTAAATTAAAGTCATAAAGTATATTATGGACGCAATCTCATCCTTAAGGACAATTTTAAAGCATTTTATTGGCATTATGTAACTCCGTAGAGGCCCTAAAGCCTAACCCTGCAGCAACAGAGTAAAAGTCAAAAACCTTTAAGACAAATCTTTTCAACAAAGTCATAGTGAAAAGAAGCCCCTATGAGTTCGTTTTTCATTTGATTTGATAGAAGCAAATGTTTCTGATGCATGTGATTTATTATACATACACTTTCATATTGTCATATTGGCACACCATTTCAAACATCCACATCAATTCTGAAATTTTGATTCCGATTAATAATAGAAGGCATGGGTCTTTGAAAATTAATGACTGTCTCCAAAAACATGGGGGACTGAACTTCCAGTCTATATTCTATATATTGCTATCTGTATTTTCATATTCATTAGTGTTACTATTATATATTTATCAACTCAATCTATTATAAAATGTTCAGTAGAGAAAGCGAGGCTTTTTATTTCAAGCCCTGTTACCTGAACACTGGGCAGACTGAACTGACTGATGGTCGCGGGTTCCGCGGCGGCAGCGCGCATCACAGGCACAAACGGATCGCAGGACATCTGCCATCCCGAGACCGTCTGAATCACCGGAGGAGGGCGAGAGGAGATGAGCACGGGAGGAACAGAACCCACCCTACACAGTCCGGAGGTGTTCGGGACCATCCAGAGCCACGGAGGAGCTTCGGCGCTCACGTGCCACAGCTGAGGCTGAGCTTTAACGCGCTGGACCGGGATCATTCCTGCTGCATCCTATATAGCTCAAAAGAAGGATGGATGGATACCGAGAAAGCTGTCCGTGCAGTGACACTGAAAAAAAACAGACAAATAGATAGATAGATAGATAGCGCACATGTATCCGCGCCCCAGCGACAAAAATAGACGGCTTTATCATACTGGTCCACTGTCCAGAAGTCAGTTGTGTGCATATTTTAGCACATACTCCGCATGCATGAATGAATTATTTAAATGCATGGCAAAAACTCAGAGAACCCCGTAAGAGTCTGTATAAGCGAATGTGTGTGCATTGGGCACAGACAATCTTGCTGTAAACATACAAAACTCATTATGTTAAGGATAGGCCTACTTTGAGAATCAGAATATGAATAAAACATATACCCACTGAAACATAATAAACAGGCTCCCCTCCCAAATTCTGCAGCACATGCATGCGCATGGGCTAAAACAGGTGGACGCAACGCATCATTTAAAAGCTTTTCTGTGTAACTTAAATGGAAAAGTTATTCTGGCTCGTTCACTTAAATAAACCAACATGGCTACGCCTAGATGAAACTGCCAAAAATAACGAGTTTTTTTATAATGCACTGTCCAAAAGTCTCTGAAAGTTGATGCATATTTTAGCACATCACAAAAGCACAAATACGCATATGCATAAATTATAGTAACCACATAAGCAGAACTCAAACATCACCACATGACTTGCCTGTTTTCTCCACAGATAATCCTAAACATTAAACTGCTATCACGTAAATCAGAATCTGATTTTAAAAAAAGCCCATTGAAATCTAATAAACAGACTCTCCTCCTAAAATTCTGCAGCACATGCATGGACTTAAACAGGTGCAAGGCACCTCTTATCAAGAGCTTTTCTGTGTAACCTAAACAGAAAAAAAGTTATTCTGGCGTTTTTTTTTTTTTTTAAGATGCACCAAACATTAGATGCAAACTCACCTATAGTATGAGGGGCTTGAAAAATCCCTTTAGTTCAACATAATTTGTCTGTTAGTGTTTCGCTGGAAATAAATAAATAACGCAAAATACAAACAGATAAGTTAAATATGAAAACGTATCTGCAGACGAAGGTTTCTAAGAATATCCGGTAAGAAAGGTGTCCAAAGTGTCCAAAGCGCAGAGAATACACGGATCTCTCCGTGCGTGCGTTCATGCGCCGTGGATCGCGCTTTCCATGTGCACGATCACACCAGCGGGTTGTTCATCTCGCTCACAAGAGCTCCGTGGGAATCTCGTGGAAATCTGTTCACTGTCAAGCCGATGATTCTCTAGCCTCCCGCAGTTGTGCCTCGTAAAGCATCGCAAAATCACCCCTCATTACATTATAATCCTCTGTTTCTCATTCATGCTTGTAGAACTTGTGTATGTTATGTAGACAATCCTCGATGATGAACAGATTCGACTGTGTTTCTGCTCTGCTGAAAGTCCTCCTGGCAGTCCAGACCGGGCGCATTTGCTTTCTGAGCGGATCTGATGGCGCCGTGCGCAGCACAACACAGTGCGTCAGGACGCGCAAAGACGCACAACTCGCACTCTGATGAACAGGGATGATTAGAATATTGTGACAACTGTTTTAATCTGTTAACAGTGACACGATTTACCTTGTTTAAAACCTATTTGGAAGTTTTTTTTTTAACCCTCGTGTTCTGTCTGGGGACTCCAGGGGTTTTTATAAACTTATTTAAAATGAACAACAGTCAAATATCTGAAAAGTTAATGACATATTGAAGCTAACATTCAAATAAATTATACACCTTAAATAATTTGCCAGTTTGTGATTAGGTCCGAGCATTATAATAATTAATATAGGCTATTATAGTATACAATTATTAATATTTCAAAATACTAAATTAAGCTAAATAATAAAATGTAAAAAAAAAATAAAATAAAAAAAAAATAAAAAAAAACCTTGATACAATCTAGCTGTAAACTTTTTAAACCATGGTTATTTATTTTAATCTATTGTCACTGCTTCTGGTCATAAAAGTCATAACACAAGCAGCTTTGTCATCATTACAGCAGTTGTATCAGAGGAAATATCAGAGGGAGCCTTAGAATATTGCCTTGGTCAATGGGGGGCCTCAGAGTCAAAGAGCTTTACTTTTCGTTTTTTCCTTATCAATCAGTCCTCTATGGCGACTTTGAAGCACAAGTCATCATATTTTTCTTATACCGCCAGGGGGGATGTTTGAACAGCCATATGGAGGGAAATTGAGGTTATCCAAAGTTTCTCTCTCTCTCTTGCTCACAACTGGGCGTCTCCTGGTGAGTGGATCAACCCTGACTCCCGTGAATGTCACAAATCGCTGTGTGCAAACAAAAATCATACCGTAAGTGGATTTGACATCCCAGTCTTAGTTTGGAGTCTAGTGTGAAATGGTGTAGTGGCGCAGGGATGGGAACTGGTTCCCACAATGTATAATCCATGAACCAAACCACTGTTTCCCTGAAGTATGCATAATCCATGAACCAAACCACTGTGTCCCTGAAGTATGCACATAACCCTAGGTTTCTCTAGATCTATTACATTTACACCATTTTTTTAATATAAAATGAAAACTTGTCAATTGTTCCATTAATTTGGGATCGGTGATCATTAATTGGGTTATCGGTGATTAATTAGTTTGGCACAAGGTTTGCGATCGATTAATTGTGTCTTGTTGAACACTAGGTGGAGAACTCGCGGGGTTTTTGTGTATGCTACATCAAGTTTGCGGTGGGGAACCTCATGCAGTTTTGTGTGTTTCAGGTAAAGGTTAATTATCTGTTAATACGTGTGAAATAGTGTTCTATGATGTTTAAGAGGATGTAGATGTGATTATGTTGATTACAGTAAGTGTTGTTCGTGACGTATAAACGCCCAACTATTTCAGAGATTATTGAGCTCAGAGCTCCATTCTTGAGCATTAATGGCGCGAGGCCCACATGTTGAGAGCATTTAGTGTAGGCCTATGTATACATATTTGTCATATATGTTAAATATTTGATGTTTAAATCGGTTTATTTAATGTTGATTGTTTGACTCACTGGTAGAATGTGAATATTAAGAAGGTAATTATAAAGAAAATCGAATATACATGATTTTCAGATAAAGATAATTACTTGAAATTAAGTATTTACAGGTTTTGAATTGTTTTGTACTAGTTTATATACACTGTTTTAAAAAAACGAAGCTTATTTACATAACTGTAAAATGCCTCAACATACCAGTTAATTAATTTGTGTATCTTTGATTACAAATGAATTTCAAATATCAACATTGGCTACCAGAAATCCCTTACTCTGCCTTTAATAGTATGTCCCAAACTGTTGCAATATGTGTACATTTATGAAAGGATGCCAATGCTGTTTGAAAGGTTCTTTATTGTCTGTTGTGTTACAAAGAGGAGATTGTACACAAAACTTTTGCGTGTTTAATCTTCTCCCCTCTTTTTCAAGGGGACAACAATATCAGCAAAAAAAGTTTCAGATAGATCCTGATTAAATTTACACTGCTATTCAACAATTTTGGGATCTGTATATTTTTTTTATAATGTTATTTAACTGTTAAAAGACAGTAAAACAGTAATATAGTGAAATACTATTACCATTTAAAATAAATGTTTTCTATTTGAACATATTTTAAAATGTAATATATTCCTGTGACGCAAAGCTACATTTTAAGCATCTTTACTCCAGTCTTCAGTGTCACATGATCCTTCAGAAATAATTCTAATATGTTGATTTGCTGCTCAAAAAAACATTTCTAATGATTGTTATCAATGCTGAAAACAGTTGTGCTGCTTAATATTCTTGTGGAAACAATGGCACAATTTTTCAGGATTCTTTGATGAATAGAAAGTTGTTAACATTATAAATGTCTTTACTGTCACTTTTGATCAATTTAATGCATCCTTGCTGAATCAAAGTATTAACTTATTTCAAATAAAGTAAAAGACACCAAACATATGAACAGTAGTGTATATGTAGTAGTAAACTTGTGATGGCCAACTTTTGATAGTTTCATAAACCTTTCAAACACAACACAACCGTGTGCTCTGCCTAAAGTCCAGTTCTTCATGGAGCTTTTGTGAATTATTTTTCATTCATGGTGATAAGTGGTCCAAATCAATTTCTAACTAGGTTCTCGAGTTCTTGGAGTAAGTGATCGAACTCAACAATTTGACTTGAAATTGAGGGAACCCTTAGGCCAAGACTTCTTAATTTTCTCCAACAAAAATCTTGATTTTCACAGCTGTGTGGTCTCACACCCCAGGCTCTCCAGCAGTTCTGTTTCATGTCCTTGTAAAAATGGATCTGCGCTCGTAATTAAGGACTGTTGCCCCTTTCATTCATCCTCCTAGATTGGTTGGAGAGAGAGGCTGGATACCCGCGGCTGTCCGTGGCACAGAATATGGCCCTGCCGGTGCTGTGGCGATATAGATTATTTGACTGGGGCTGTTCTGTTGTGATATTCCAGTTTTGGGGTCTGCCGTAGGAGTTGTTTGGATCATCCGCCGCTATTTCTCTGAAGGGAAAATCTGGATGCAGAAATGAAATTTTCCAACCATTTCTGATTGGTTAAAACCTTACCCTCAATCACACAGTGTGTCTAATGCCTGAGACCGGTCTTACTTTAGATTCTGTGAGCGTGAGGAAAGCATGCCAGAATATTTTGAGCATTACAATAATATTCAGAAAGCAGGTGCCACAATCAACACCTTGGTTACCCGAGCAACAGCAGAGGCTGATAACAAAATCATAAACGCATGGACATTCATTTATATTTTAATAGTATTAAAAAGAGACACGATCCATTGTAAATGGAGTCGTACCCAAAGGAACTGGCTTGGTAAGGGCCTGCAAGACTATTGAAACATATTGCCTTGACATTGAAAGGCTTTGGGCTATTTGTTTCAGAGAAAACATGAATGGTAATGCCCTCACAGCTGCACGAATTATTATGCTAAGACAGAACACATGGCGAGGTTAATTACAGGGTCAATCTGGTGTATTTATGGCCTGGCCTGGACACAATTACTTACTCTTGTATAATTTAGGATTCTTTAATGCACAGCGGAACATACTCATGAGAATGCCTATGTGTTTAGTGCACATATGAACAAAATGATACAAAAAAATTATTCCTACTGATTACACAAAAATATGTAAAAATAAAATCTGAAGTGTGTGGTTTCTGCGCCATTCACGCCACCAACCGGAATTGGAAAAAGAACTGTTTTCGAACAGGTTTCCCAATACTTCTCCCATATGTTATTGGTTAGATTAAAAAAAAAAAGTCTAGCCTCAAAAAAAGTCTAGCCTGGACTTTTTTTTTGGTTGAGGTAAACAGGATGTTCAATGAGGAAAAATGTAGGATGGGACTTGAAGTGGGTGTTAATATGGAGTGTAAGAGAAGGGGTTAAAAGTAAACTAGCTTCATGACATCATCTGAAAAGAAAATCTTTCAAGTTATTACATTTAATTGTTCACAATAAGATCAAGAAAGTGCACTATGGGTCAGCTTTTGAGGTTTTCTGTCAGGCATTTGAGTCATATAGGGGGAAAATGCATGTCTGCTAGAATATAAAAGAGGGTTAAAGGAAGGAAGAAAGGATGGATGGATGTTTTGAAAATGCAGCATTGAGGTCTCTAAGACTCCAAACATAAAAACACAAGTGTCAATGTCAACAGAACATGGGGTTAAATAGCTTCCAGTAGGTAAAGTTTTAATTATTCAAATTATTTAAAGAAGAGAGCCTCCTACTGGGCTGTAAGATGATTAAAGTTATTTAAAATAAATCATATGAAAATAATTTAATTAAAATGCAGCTGTTAATTAATTCATGTACAGTTAATTATTTTAATCTATTGATACTCATAGTTTATGTTCATTAAAACAAAAAAAAATTGAAACCAAGCAGATAAACAACAAGTGAAATGTGTATAATGGGTATAATGTTGAGTTTTTGTCAGTCATTTGCTGTTTATGATGCCTGACGGAGTCATAGCCTGAGGATACCACTCTTCCCAAACCTGGTCATTTACATGTGCACTCTGATTATCCACAAACCTCCGTTAGACATCACTTGGGAAACAGTTAGAGGTTTTCCCTCTGCTCTGCTTGTTTGTTGTCATGCCAGATTCTGGAACGGGAATATTCCCCATCACTGGTGCTGTATTACAAAAGTGCTTGTTCATACCACAGCTGCCGCAGGCCCTGGAAAATTGATGTAGGCCTACCGCTTCTCCTCTTCAGGAAAGTGTTGATTGTGCAGGAAGAATCGTCTGACTTCTAGGATGATAACATGGTGATGTGGAAGGATTTGTGTTGTGGCATAGTAGTTAGAAGAATAGTTCGCTCAAAATGAGAAAAAATGCGATCATTTAATCACCCCAATGTCGTTGCACATCTGTATGACTTTCTTCTTTGGATGTTGCAAATTCACTGCAAATGTGCCTGCAATAAGTTGCTTTGGAAATTAATAAATTGATAACTTTACACAGATGCATTCAATT